TTTTTTCTTTTTTCCTAATAAGAACAGAACAAAAATCAAAACTCAATTGCCATGGACCCAGGGCAGGGAACCTGGATGAAGAAAGAGGGCCTGGTGGCTCAGGTGACAAGAGAAATTACTGGAACTCGGAGGATCTCAACATCCGGGGCCGCACGCCCGGCCCTGGCCTGGGGACGTGGACGGCCCCGCAGCATCACTGCACTGCCTGCGTGTGAGAGGCTATTCAGGGCAGGGAGCTCTCCCAGCGACCTGTTCACTGGTGAAAAGCCCGAGGCCCAGAGCGCTAGTCCCAGATCACACAGCTGAACCAGCAGGGCCGGTCTGACTGAGGCCCTGCACCCCTATACTAACTACTCTTCACCTTCTTCCTGCTCTCTGCTCCAGAACCATCCTGGGGCGCCCCCAGGCCCCCTCGTTCCATCCTACAAATACGTCCAGTGCGATTTCTGTGTAAGAGCTCGGGTGACTGGAAACCCAGCAGGCCAACGTAATACTCCATCTCCAGGACTCTAGCCCGCTTCACTGGGGCGTCATTTGTATAAGGCAAGATTCGCAGGTGTGAAGGCCAAGACTAGTCCTTATTCAGCGGTCCCTCTCTACACTCACAGGTCCCCTCTGCTCCCCTGTGGTCAGCGCCCTCCAGCTCCCAGCCCCAGGCAGCCACCCATCGGTTTGGGTCTCCCGGGCCGTGCGGCTCTGGGCCTTTCTCGGAAGTAGAATCACAGGGCTTGTCAGGCCCAAGCTGGGTCACGCGGAGGGACAGGTCTGAGGGGCATCACCTGAGGCCTGTGTCAACAGCCGAGCCTTGTATTTGCTGAGTGAATCCCCGGCGTCAGTCCCGGGCTGTACCACAGTTCGCGGCTGTCATTACCAGCATGGACATCTGGACCGTTCCTAGCTGTTGAGTAAGAATAAAACTGCTGGCCGGGAATTTAGCTCAGTAGTTTCACCACCTGGTGCGGAAACACAAGGACCCCGGTACCAAAAAGAAAAAAAAAGGAATAAAACTGCTGACAACATTGGTATCTTGGCGTGTCTGTTTCTCTTGAGAAGCTACCTAGGAGTTAAGTTGCTGGTTAGTGTATTTCTTTGTTTTTTATTCTTTGTTTTGTTTGAACCGGAGTCTTTGCAGTGAGCTACATCCTCGCCCTCTTTTTGAGACAGGGTTTCCCTACTGTGTTGCCCAGGCTGGGCTCGAACTTGCGATCCTCCTGCCTCAGCGCCCCCAGAGTGCTAGGATTACTGATGTGCACCACCAGGCCAGGTGGGTTTAGGTTTTTAAGAAACGCCAAGCTAGTCACACCCACATTTGGGATCATTTAGAGGACTTTACACAAGTACGGGTCTCAGTTTCTGTATTTCGTTTCCTCTTGGGAGCTAACCTAGGCCCACGTGGGTGTCCACAGCGAAACACCCTGCCCACCGTCCTCCACGGTGTGGAAGCCCAAGGTCCCAGCCAAGAGGGGCCAAGAAGCGCTCTCCAAACGGCGGGACCTAAGACCCCGCGCAGGACTCCGCCCCAGAGGCACGGGGCTCCCGGGGCGGGGGATCTGGGGTGCGCGCGCATCTCCAGCCTCCCCCTGCCGGGAGGGGCGGCTTCTCCGGAGGGCGGAGCTAGTGGGTGGGATCGAGAGGCGCGCTCCTGCAGCCCCGCCCATCAGGTGCGGGGACTCCGGGGGGCGGGAGCGAGGGCGGAGCCAGACAGGGAGCGCGGCCCCGCCCCGCCCACTCCTCTCCAGCTCGGGCTCCTTCGGAGTCCGCCGCGCCGGCAGCCTTGGCTCGCCGCGCACCATGGCCGGGCTGCTGGCGCTGCTGGGCCGCGCCGGCCGGGTGGGCGCCCAGGTCCGTCCTCGCGCCACCTGGCTCGTGGGCGCCGCCGTCTCCCGCGCCCCGCCGCCCCTGGCCCTGGCCCTGGCCCAGTTCCGGCCCGGCCCAGACGCCCGGCTGTTCCGCACAGCTCGCGGGGACTTCCGTGGCCACCAGGTAAGCCTCTCCACCCCCACCCTGACCTCTGATCCCCAGGTGCCCCGAGCAGGGCCAGGCCCCTCCGCTGCAGCCACAGCTTTACCCGGCTGCCTAGGGTCAGTCACCTCCAGGGTCCTTGAGTCTCCAGATCCCTGCACGCCAGGAAGTGACACCCACTTGACAGCCGGAGAAACTGAGGCTCGGGGTTGCAGGGTGCCCCGCCCAAGGTCACACAGTCCCCTGCACAGCCCCCTTTCCAGAGCGTCGCTGGAGCAGTGAGAAGCCTCCCTCCCCAGGCCTTCCATGCTGTCCCTTTGAAGTCCCATTCAGGCCTCGGCCCTGGGCCCCGGAGAAGCCTCTCTGGGTACTGACACCGCCCAGGCCCATCTTATCTAACTCCAGAGCGGGGCCACGGTGTGCTGCACCTGATCCCATTTCATTTCGGTGGCCTTCCGCGAATGCTGAGCGAGACCTACTTCCCATTCAGAACTGCAATACACCTTTTCTTTTTAAAAAAAAAAAAAAAAAAATCAGTTTTTTGTTGCTGTCTTAACGGGTCTGTAAAGAAAAGCTGGAGGTAGTCGCCTGAGAAGTGAGGATCCGCAGGGCCTGGGGTCCCTGTGCTTCCAGCTTCCCCACCCAGTTTGAACAGGGCCTCCTACACCAGCCTGTGACCTCCAGCCTCGGCCTGTCTGCTGACCCTGCAGCTGCAGGCCCGAGTCTGGGGGACAGATCTACTGGCTAATGCAGGCTTGTGCATGGCGCCACGTGGGAGCCCGCATGTCCTGAACTTTTGTAGTTTTTCAGTGGGTAGCAGAGGGGTTGGGCCCACATGCCCTTACCATATCCTTCTGTCCATCCCTGCAGCTGCCTCTTGGTGTCTCTCCAGCCCCAGCCTCAGGGTCCCTTCCTCCAGGAAGCCTCCGCTGACCACCAGTGAGGCCTTGGGCACCTTGGGGGGCTCCCCTCAGCCCCTGGATGTGGATCTTCTCTGCATTCATCATCTGGAATGGCCCCTTGCCCTGTTTGTCTCTTCTGTCATCTGCATCAGCCTTGTCCCCAGGCCAGGCGCTGTGTAACAGGAGTGTGTGTATTATGGGGATGTGCATGAGGTCTTGGATTCCCCAGATCTCAGTTTCTTATTCTAGTTCTGTAACCTTGATCAAATTCGCTCACTCTTCTGTATCTCGGTTTTCTCATCTGTAAAGTAGGATGTTCATCATCACACTTCCTAGTGTAGAAATAAGATGTTGACACGTGACACGCAGTACATCCTAAATTCATGTTAGCAATTGTAATCACCATAAATATAAACATTTCCAGGGACCCGTGAGCTCTCCTTGCTTTCCCTGCCCTCTGATAGAGTAGTGTGGAATCCAAGTGAGATCAGAACAGAAGATCCTCATCTCCCTGAGAAAACATTTCCCAGGTAGCCTAGAGCCCAGGGAGCGGGTATCTGGCTTGTGCCCGGCGCCCAGCACCTGCCTGCAGCTCTGGCTTCCCTTATTTAAACTCCCTCCACCAGGCCTACCTGGCTCCCTCCCTTGTCCCATTTGGTGTTTCTCCGTAGCCCTCCCTCCGGCAGCCCTGTATTTTCCTCCTGTGTTTGCTGTCCCTTCTTCCCACCACCCTATAGGCTCCTGGCAGGTTTTGCCAGTTCTGTTCATTGCTCCATCTCCTACACTTGGAGCCGTTCCTGGCTCAGGGAAGACCTATGGATTCATGAAGAACAGAGTATAGTTGTTCAAAGGGAAGTCCTTGGAAACAGCCCCAGCAGATTTCAGCCCCAGCTCGGACAGTTGGTCCCTGCATGATCCTTGGAGGTTACTCAATCTGTCTGGGCCTCCAGATCCTGTCCTGTCATGTGGGAATGTCAGTAGTGCCTCTCTCAGGGTGTCATGAAGATTATATGAATTAATCTTTCCAAAGTATGTGGAACACTGCCTGGTACAGATTAAACACAATGTAGTGCCGTTTAGTATTTACTAAATGAATGAAAAAAAGTGTCACTCTAAAAACATGATCAACTTGCGGACGAGGTGGTGGGCTCATTTTCCAGCCCCCTTGCCCTTTCTCTAATATAGCTCTTTGTGCTTCAGTCAGTAGGGGACTGGGAAGAGGGACATCATACACACATGTATATAAGAACAGTTTGAGGATGTGCACAGGACCACAATGCCACACACGCTCAGGGCAGTGCCTAACACTTTGCAGGTCCTTAAGGTAATGTCCCATGAGGAGATGAATGCCTGCACATTTCCTGCTGCTTGCAAGTCACACTCTTCAATTCCTTTGGTTTAGTTTCTTTAGACTCCTCAGAGGTGAGGGAGAAAAAGGCACGGCCCTCGGTGCCCCTATGCCCTGCATGAGTAGCCATTCCTAAAAGAAGACACTTTTCCAGAACATCCCAGCTCTGGAGAAGAGACAGAAAACTGCCACCACCTCTTTCGCCGTGTAGCCAGTGCCACCTTCCCTCTCCTCAGCCTATCTAGCCATGCACTCCAGCCAGAATGGCTGCTGAGTGCTGGGCTCTTTCTGATAAACAAGCCCCACCCTCCTGTCACTGCAGATGGGACAGCTGCCAGAGCTGATGGGAGGACAGCTGAGGGCCCTTCCCTAGGCTGATGGTACTTAGAGTCCCTTTCACTTCCCACCCTTGACACTTGGCCCAGCCAAAGTCAATTATGCAGCCCTCTGCCTATTCACAGACCCAGTATGGCTGTCTCTGCTGAGGGCTCTTTTGTTTACATCCACTAGTTTGGCAAATGGCCTTCTGACCATAAAAGAAAAATAAAAAGGCCGCTAGATAGCCAGCTACAGAATAAGCAGCATCTACTTCGAGACTGTGGTGGAATAAACCATGAGGGACAGTTTCCTGGGGCTTTCTTTGTTTTTGTTTTTGTTTTTTGAGACAGGATCTCAATATGTGGTTCAGGCCAGCTTTGAACTTACTGTGTAGCCCAGGCTGGCCTTGAATTTCACAGGGATTCTCATGCCTCAGCCTCCTGAGTGTTCCCATTGGTTTTAAAAAGGGAGGCCCAGGAAGGCCTCACTGAAGGCCTCATGAAGGTGGCATTTGTTAAGGACCTGAAAGCAGCAGGGAAGTGGAGGAAATATTTGCATTTCTATTTGAAATATGCACAACAGAGAAGTAGTGGGAGGATCCATGCCCCCATCCTTGGCAAGCAGCCTGGAGAATGTGCCAGGTGAGGCAGGGCAGGTGAGCAGATTCCCTTGACAACCCTGGCTGGCACCTGAGTCCCCTGGTGAGCTAATGACAAATCCCCATCTGGAAAGCCAGACGCTGAGCACACAGACACAGATGCACATGGAAAAGCTCTCCTGGTCCCCAACACTATGTCACACACAGATGGACAACACACAGGCCGCTGGAGGCTGGAGAGAAGTGCAGCTTCACACGTCGAATGTGCGCGTCTTGGCCCCTGCTTCAGACAGCAAGGCAGGGGAGTGCCCAGTTGTGCCAGCGAAGCTGGTGGATCTGAAGGCTGCTGCTCAGGCACCTCATGTTCTTTCTTTTCATCCAGGGGGTCCTGACCCCATCTCCTGGGGCTTCTGGGCCCAGTGACCCTTCCCTTTGCCCCTGCACAGGATGGCTCAGGGAAGCAGCAGTGCAGCTGCAGGACCAGTAACTACAGCCAGCCTCCAGGCAGGTGCTTCCCACCTGCTGAGCCGAGCTCTGAGGGCTGTCATAAATCTTGTAGTTACAAATGCTCAAAGCCAGGTGTGGTGGTGCACCCCGTAATCCCAGCATCAGGAGGCTGAGGCAGGAGGATTGCTACCAGTTCAAGGCCAGCCTAGGCTACATAGTGAGTTCAAGGCTAGCCTGGACTACATATCAAGACCCTGTCTCAAACAAAAAAGTCCTTTTACTGAGGTTTCCAATCTAAGTACAGTTGGGTGTTTCTTCTTGTTTTGTGTTTTGTTTCTCCCAAACATTTCAGGCTCAGTAGGTGATCAGTAAATGTTAACAGATCAATAATAAATGCCACACATAATGAATTATTTCTGGACAAATCCTAATCAGTGTATTGTCCAGGAAGTGGCCCTCCATTGAATGAATCTGTTTCCAATCTCAAGTATAAGTCCCGATCCATAGCTTTGGCTCCCTAGGGGTCTGCTCCATGCTCCGCCAGCCTTCTTTGGTGTCACATGGCACAGTGGTTGTGTGCTCCCTGGAGCAGCAGAGGCCACACTGGCTCAGGGAGTGTTCCTTAGAGGATCCTGCTGTCCCCCAGCAAACGAGCCCTGGGGTTTCAGTCACTCTCTCTGCGCTAACAAATGCTCACGTGTGGTTATCTCACAATCCCCAGGGGGCAGAAGGCCACCGGGAGTCTCAGCGGGCTACAGCCAGGAATCAGCAGGGCTGGTTCCTTCAGATGCTGTGGGGAGAATCCCACTCCTGCCTTTTGCAGCTTCTGGAAGTGCCTGCATTCCCTGGCTGTGGCCCTGGCCTCCAAAACCGGCAGTGCCAATCTTCGGATCTGCCCCTGACCCCTCCTGCCTTTCTTTCCCTTACAAGGACCCTTGTGGGGCCCACTAAGGCAATCCAGGACAGTCATCTCCGCATCTCAAGATCCTTGACCCCATCTGCAAAATCCTTTTGCCATGTAAGGTGACAGTCACAGGGCAGGGGTTCGGACCTGGTCATCTCTGACACCCAACATTCTGCCAGCCGTTCCGTCCACACTTCCTGGCCTTTGGCCTTTGGTCTCGAGAGAGTGGGAATGGGCCTTGGGCTGACCTAGTGCCCCCTTCCTTTGGATTATGAGCAGGACCCCAGCAGAATCGCCCAGACAACAGGCAGCGATGGTGGCAGCAAAAAGAGCAAACAGAGCAAGTCACAGCAGCTGAAGAAGATTTTCCAGGAATACGGGGCCGTGGGCATTGCACTGCACATCGGAGTCTCGTTACTCTCCCTAGGCCTGTTTTACATGGTTGTTTCAAGGTGAGATTTTCAACAGTAATAAATATTTGGTTTTTATTGCCATATAAGATGCCCTGGAATGAGAACTTTTTTCTAAGACCGTTCATCCAGATACTTTTATCATGTCTTAAAAATACTGTAAGTCTTATAGCCACAGTGATTTCTTAATCCATTGCTGTAAGAATTGTTTTGCCTCTTTCCCTCCCAGTGGCGTAGACATGTCTGCAATCCTGCTTAAACTTGGATTTAAAGAGTCGCTGGTGCAGTCAGAAATGGCAGCAGGCGCAAGTACCTTCGTGGTGGCCTACGCAATCCACAAGCTGTTTGCACCAGTGAGAATCAGCATCACCTTAGTCTCCGTGCCCTTCATTGTCAGATATTTTCGGAAAGTGGGACTTTTTAAATCTCCCACTGCAAAGCCTTGATAAACACTTCAATTGCAGGCACTGAAAACCTACTTTCAGACTGTACAATTTGGATTGATTTTAGGATTGTGGGTTTTTCTGGGGAGAAGCAGGGAGCTAATTGCTATGTTCTCATGGATAAAGTTTACCGTTACCACCAAAAATCAGGTTTTTGAATAATTATAATTTTAGGCTTTATACATTTTGCAAATGCTATTCATCACAAGGCTACACACATAATCTAAGATGTCAGCATCACAAATGAGTTAACATCTCAAAATCAAACACCCCCCTACATGTTCCTTCTAGGTCCTTGGTGAGTCTGTCTAAAAGCCCCTGGGGTTACCATGCTCACATTCTTTAAAAGCAACGATTAATTTAGCTGCTTCTCAAAATTCCCTTTCCTTTGATTTGTTGTCAGCAGCCTGCAGTTTAATGTGCAATATTCTGCAAAACAGCTGCCAGTGCTACAAATAATGAAGCAAAAGTTCACAATTTTATGTGATCATAATCTACAATGGCATCAGGCCTTTGACATTCATTACACTCATTCTGGGAAAAGAAAAACAAGTATTTCTGATGTGTTTCATAGATCCCTAAACACCTTCAAATCTGGATATCTCTGGGTTTGAGAGGGTCTTTCTGAAATTTCATTAAAGTGGGGCAGGGTCCCTTGTCTCTGTTCACGTGAGATATGAAAACCTTGCCCATTAGTAATGGTATCTCGTGAGGCTCCCAAAGTCTGCATTGACTTTGGATATGAAAAGATCAGCTTAGCCCTTCCTGGACAATCTTCCTCTCATTTCCAACTTCAGACATTCCAGAATTGTCACAGTGTTTACACTGTGTCACTACTTATATATATTGTTTAACTGAACTAAAATTATATACATGAAAGACATGCACTACTTCCCAGAAAGAAAAGTCAGTAGCACTTGTTATAAATGGAAGACAACCATGAAATAATATATATACAAGCTGGGAAGAAAAGGAGACTGGCAGGTACAACTAGTCTATCAGGCTGCTTGTACCCAACAAAGGGCAAGTGTGTTAAGGAGATTAGAATTCAAGCACAGAGACCCAATCTTATGGCTTCCTCCACTCGGTAGTGGGTTAAGACTTTTCTCTGGGCCTTTACACTCTGGGGACTCATTTATTAAGTCTGCCCTGCCGAATGGTTAAAGGAGGGCTGTATTTATCTTTCTGGCTCACAACTCCATCTTTAAAAATTATTTCTATGACAATTAGGAAACCAAAGAAACTATTAACTGTTGGTTTAACTGAGCTCTGACTGTGGACAGTCCCCTAGTTAAACCATTATTACCTATGCCAATTGGTTATCTCAATTAACATTTAAAAGGATCTTTGTGGGACAAATTCTCCACTTGCAAAATTACCTTTTTTTTTCAGTACTGGGGATCAAACTAAGGACTTTGCGCTTGCCAGGCAGGCGCTTTGCGAATGAGCTACATCCCCAGCGCAAAATTACTTTAAAGTGGAACTTTTTCTTTCAAAGCTGTTGGCACACTGCCAGCTTTTCCAGATTTAAAGCTGGAACTGTCTTTCTGGGATCCAACTCCCAGGGCATCTCTACAGCAGCTCCATATGCCTGGTGACACCAGTGATAGTTTTTTATATGGACTGGACAGAAACCTTCCCATCTCATCTTGTATTTAAACAGTGGCTTGTTCACTTTGGGCTCCTGTCCCCCATTTACACCAGTGCAAAATGCCTATGCAAAAAAAGCTGAAAGCCCTAAAACTCAGGGGCTTAAATCTCAATCTTCATGGGTTAGGAATAATGGGAGTGGACTGCAAGGGCGAGCAATAAAACAAATCATACCAAATAGCCATATCACTATGTTCTAAGCCCTAAACCCACTCCACTCCTGTGGCCAGTGGCCAAAACAGGAAAAAAAAAAGAGAGAGGATGAGATCAAAGGATCAGGGAACTAAAGTATTATGTGAATTCACCAGCAAGATATAGAATGTATTTACATTGTTTTTAATGGAATTAGGGGGATGATCTATTTTAAAAATGTAAACCATTGTTTGCCTCTAATTTTTAATCTGACAAGGTAAGCAGTTTAAGTGAAACAAATAAACATCTTTATAAAGTTTGTGAAGGTTTTCTTTCTCATTTGACGTCTTAGTGACTTTTCTGGTCACTGGGAAAAAATACCTGACACCTGCAACTAGTAGGAGAGGTTCACGTGGGCTCCTGTTTCAGTGATGGTCAGGTGGCTCCAAGCTGGAGGGCCTGGCACAGCAGCACAGTGGAGCAGCAGCTAGGACGACAGGAAGCAGTCAAGGGAGGAACCGGGAAGGGAGCTACACCCCTCTGGATCATGCCCACAGTGACCTGCCTCTTCCAACCAGACCCCATTTTCTAGCAGCAAGTCAGCCCTTCAGAAGCCCCACCTTTGAATGCATGGGGCTTTGGGGAGACATCTGGATATAAACCATAACATTTGCTAAGCGGTAAAGGTGGCCGAGTATGCAAAGCACTGGGCCTGGAGTGCCAAACTGTATGGTACCATGAGCTGTCTGCCCCAGTGGCACTCTGCCTGAGGAAATGTCCCAGGCTCAGTCAGTCACCGTAAAATCACGCTGCATGAACTACAGCTTGGATGATCCTTGAGAAATACGACTACCTTGGAACTACAAAAGTAGGCTCAGCACAAGACTGGTAACTAAAAGCTCACTTGTTCCAAGGAACACTGCACTTTTTACTTAGTTGTGTTTTTAAGTTTGACTGCTTTGTCACTCAGACATGGCAGTTCTTTATGTTAGCCAATTTTATATTTTGACATAGCTGACATCTAGTCTGTCGCACTGAGTCAGCCAGGAAAGCCTGTTTCTCTACTAGTTCAAAGTTCAACATGTCTACCTTCCCTTAATCAAGTTCAACCTTCAGGTGACACCTAAATGACACTGGCAGCTATACACTTTACATAATAGGAGCACATCCACAGACCAGGGAAATGTTCGATCTGCTCATTCCCAGACCAACAGTAAACAGGAGGTGGAATAATTACCCATACACTCCAGGTAGAGTGGTGTATTTATTTATGCATTTAACAAGTTTGCACACATGCCGTAACTCCAATGCAATCAAAAGAGCCCTTAACATTTAGAAAAAGTTCTGAGACATAAGGTCTCAGGAGCTGCTTGTGTATCCCAAGCAATTCCTGAGACAGAGGTAGAGCATGTGTTCGTCTTTCATAGTGGTTAAGGAGGGTCGGAAACCCAGACAGCCCTAACAGGGATGATGAGGGGATGCATGGAAAGAAAAATACTATACAGAGATCTTTAATATTTAAAAGAATCACATATTCATTTCAACACCTTTCCCAGGTTTGACCACCCAATAAGTTACACACACACTCGGGTCCTCGCAGGTTACTGTGTAGCACATTAGCTCACTGAGTCAGAGGAAAGCGGTTACTTTCCTGAGAACCAGACTCCGAGTTCTCACACAGGACACCCTGCCCGGCACAGACTGTTGCTACGGCTGCAGCTGAGCCCTGCCCCTGGATTAGGAACCTGGTAAAAGCAGCAGGATTCTCGAGGCGCTTTCACAGAGTGTCACGTTTCCTTCAGGGGAGCTTTGAGAACAGGGAGGCCAAGGCACTGCAGAATCAGGGAGAGAAGTGATACTTCCTGTGGCGCTGGGAATCGAAGGCAGGCGGTCAACAGTAACATAGGTCTGGGAGCACGTTCCCGAAGATCACACAGCAGCCCTGGCTCAAGGGTTTCTGCCCTTGCACGATTAAGATGATGTGCTAGTTGACTCTTTGCTTTTCTGGCCACTGGATGGCTTGGTCGAATTTGCTGTAATCCAGGGGTGTTCCAGTACTTCACTAAGAGTCGGCCTCTGGCCTGGATTATGCTTTAGCAGCCTTGAGATAAAGTCC